TCCAACCCATAGTCCCCACCCAAGCTTCACCAACTGTGCCCACACTACTTTTCCCATGTCTGGGACCTCCCAATAACATACATTGCATGGAGTTATGTCTCTTCAGTCTTGTATGATCTCAAATAGTTCTTAGTCTTTCTTTGTCTCTTATGACAAATTTATTTATTTATTTGTGGTTTCCCTCTGTCACTCAGGCTAGAGTGCAGTGGTGCAATCATAGCTTACTGCAGCCTTAAATTCCTCAGCTCAAGCAATCCTCTTGCCTCAGCCTCCTTAGTAGCTGGGACTACAGGCTGGTGCCACCATGCCAGGACAATTTTAAGATTTTTTTTAATAAAGATGGAATCTTACTATGTTGCCCAGGCTGATCTTGAACTCCCAGCCTCAAGCTATCCTCCTGCCTTGGCCTCCCAAAGTGTAAGCCACTGTTCCTGGCTCATGACAGTAATAAAAAAAAACAGAATGGCCTTCCTTCTGGGTCTGATATTCCCTCAGGCTAGATTGAGGCTGTGGTATCTGGCAGAAGAGTGTCAGACATGCTGCTGTGGTCTTCTCAGCACACTGCATGAGGATTCAGTTTCAGTTTTTCTCCATCGATGACAGGTACCTCATTACCTGGCCACGCTGGTGTCTGCTGGTGTTTCCCACCAGAAAGTCTGAATATCCTCTTTGTAACTTGTAAGCATCTTGAAGAAAGGTGCTCACTGTCACTCCTCCTCAAATCTCCACCTACCACCCTGAGCCTCCATTTATAGCTCACTCCAGAACCTCACTACAGTCATTGATAAATGGTTATTTCAATTTTCATAATTCCTTCTCCATTTATGAGTTCATATTCTATGAAAACGAGCTTCCCCTTCTATTATTTTCCCTGCATTCATCACTGGTTTGTTAATATACATCATCAGTATGGATTCCACTCATGGGTTTCTATTTTGCTCACTCAGTGGTAACATGCCAGTATCATTGGTTCTGGGTTACCACTGCATCCAGATGCTCAGCAACAGAACTATGTTACATGCAAACTTTCTGTGCCACCAAAGAAGTAGCACTTGAATATAAACTTCCTCAGCAAGGCAACTTACTTCTATAGAAGGGTGTGTCTCACAAATGGAGTGAGTACACGACTACACAAGGGAGGGGAAGGGGTTCCTATTCCTGATGCAGGTAGCCCCTACTGCTGTGTCATTCCCCTATTGACTAGGGTTAGACCACACAGTCTAAGCAAATTCCAGTTGGCTACTTTAAAAAGAGCAGGGGTACAAGCCAGAGTGGCAGGGTGGGTAGTGTCGGTAACCCCCCATATAGGCACTGAGGAATGAACTAAGCAGAACCCTGGCACAGTTAGGGCTTGAGGAATATCTCACTTCATAGTGTTACTACTCAGCTTTTTCCTTTTATAATCATATATTAGTTTATAGAAATAGGGCTTGACGAATCCCTTTATATAATCCTCTACATATAATCATATAATAGTTGATAGTATGAGTGCCTAAAGAATATTTCCCTACATATATACCTATAATTATATCTTAGTTCATAATCAGAGGAATGCCTAGAATGGACACAGTACAGGGCATGAATTAAGGAATAAGCACCTTATGATCGAAGGAATGCCTAGAGCATACACAGTGCAGAGCATGATTCAAGGGAAAAACAGTTATACCAGGACAAGAATCCGTGGCCCAGGCGGCAGCATTCAACATCATAAAGATACCCACTGTATGGCAGGCTTGGGGCAAGAGCCACTCCTCCTGATAAAGGATCTGTAGGACCTTGCTCCAGTTCTTGTGGAAGGCTGCCCTCAGATCGGCAATCCACCTTAGTGACTATGAACTTTATCAGCTCTTGCCACTGTGCGGCTCAAAAACATCTTCCCATAGAACCTATTGGAAGCTGCCAGAAGGTGGCGGTAACCTTGACAGCTCTGTCACTGCTATGTGACTTAAAGCATCCTCCTATAAATCTTCTTCGAAGTAGTTTGCCCGTAGATAGAAGTATTGCACACTGCACCCTCTTCACTGTGTATGGCCCACCTTCAAGCCTCGGTGACCTAATGGGGGTGGACCCCTTACTGCAAACGGCTCTTGCCTTCATGGGAATGGGCCCCTTGCTGTGCACTGTCCACCTCCTGGCCTAGGTGACCTAATGGGGTTGGACCCCATGTTTTATTGCTCACGACCCTATCACTATCCTTAAAGATAACTTCACTCACTGCCCTGCCCCAACCTATACACAATAAATACTCATGCTTCTGGACATTCAGGGCCTTGCTTGACTCCACTCATCGGTGGCATGGCCCCGCAAGCCCAGCTGCATTTTCTTTGTACTTCTGTGTCCTGTCTCTTTATTTCTCGGATCCTGCGTCTCAGCACAGCATAAGGCTCACCCCACGACCCTGTGGGGCCCTCAGCCCTACAGGTAGTTTGGCGGGAAGGACATTTAGGGAACAGGTCGGAACAGACAACCAGAGCAGGTGACTGGAAATGAGGCAGGACAGAGAATGGGACCAGGGGAACTGATGTGAACTACTGATTAGAACTGGTGGAAAGGTTGTTTACTGAAACTACAAGGAAGTTAAACTTTAAAATGGAGAATTAAAGAATGAGAGATGAACATATTGACATACTGAATCTTAGAAGAGAAACTTGGAGTTCACTATATCTAACAACTAGAAAATGTGTGTTTATATGCACATATATCTACATACATGTGCACACACATGGAACTATCTTTATATCTATATATACATAATTTTAAAAATCAGTTCACATTAACACTTCCAGTTCTAATCCAATACTTCAGTGTTCTTCTTAGCCTTCCCTCTTCCATATTTCTACCTTCTCCAACAGCAAGAAACCTGGCTTTCACCGTCCCCACTATATTTAATTTGCTGGTATAACCTCCAAAAGGAAGCGGTGCAGAGCACGTTCTCCCACACGCCACAATGAGACGTATTTAAGATACTGGGGAGGATTCAAAAGCAGGAAGAGTTGAACTTAAGCAGAAGGTAGCACTTTCCTCTGAAACCAGAAAGACTAGAACTTTGCAGTTGTGCACGGGAGCACTCGGAATGACACTCCAGAGAAAGCAGCACTTTTCCTTGTCTACAGACTTTTTCTTGTCTACAACAATGAAAGGATGGAGGGGTCATGAAAGGTCACAGGAGGCTGAGGGGTATATTATTAGCAAAAATCTAAGAGACAAGCAGAACCCACAGTTAAACTGACACGAGATTGAGCTGCGACAGGGCCTTAGGCGCTGCTTTCTGAAGGCACTAACAACAGGGAGGGGCCGGAAGCCCCAGGCTCACACAGAGGGAAGCTGAGGACACTCGGGGATGACTGGTAGGCAACACGGGAACTTCTCTTCAATCTAGTTTACATTGTTGGGTCAACCACTGGATGTCACATGGTACAGGATTTTTTATGAGGCTTATATTTAAGCAAGTCTCTGTAGGATGTGATCCTACAACTTTCCAGCAGAGGAAAGTTGCAAAAGGGCTCACGTTCCCTTTCTGTGTCAACAAGGCAATTATTTGCTTTTGTGTTGAGACTTAGTTTTGAATGAAAGGTGGTGTTAGGAGCATTAACCAGTTACATATTCACAATCAACATAATTTGGTGCTGTGGCAAACCTGGGACTGTGAAGAGTAAGAAAAGGGAAACCACTCCCATCCCTTGCCTGGGGTTTCCTGCCCTTGCCTGGAGTTGAGTGTTTTACGTATGTGACATAATCTCCACAGACATATGCATACAAAATTATGCAGGCACAGGAACGAGGGGAGAGAGACTCCTATGTAAAGGTGACCCTGCTTCGGGGTGTTTATTCATTCAGTTATTCATTCAGTGCCCTACTTTGTTACAAATTCACTAAAGATGTCCTTGGAATTCACTGAATATGCTCAAAAACAGTCAAGAAGGATGTTCTTTGCTGCTGCTTGGCTTGAAGTTTCCTTGAAAAGACTATAAAACAAATACAATTAACTCGATTGAATTCACTGAAAAATAAGTGATCGATTTTGTGTTTCTGACTTAACTGAAAAATGATCTCAGAAAGAAACCACAGGCAAGGCCTACCTCGGTCGTCTGAAACAGCTATTAATAGCTGGCCACAATATTAACACCTTTGGCAAAGCCTCGTGGTGCCCGGGGTGGAGGTCCCGAGGGTCAACGGCGCTCCTGCGCGCTTGCGGTTGTCTTCGCCTGGCTCTACCAGAACTCCTCATGGAGGGCTTTTGTGATTCAAGGCATCTTAAGTGCCAACTGAATTGTGTGAGAGTGGCCGGGCTCACGACGGAGTCGTTAGTGTTGAAAGCCCTGACGAGCAGGGCAGGGAGGGCCGCAGAGGCAGCGTTCTCCCGCCGGAACGCCTGGTAACAACATCATCCCGCGAGACTCTGCGAGAGCCACAACCTTGCACACAAACTAAGCAACCTCACCCCGAAAACACCAACGACTCCCGCCAACAACGCCCGTCCGCCTCCGGCAGGTGGGGCCCACGTCACCGTCCTCGTGGCCGCGGAGTTACCGCAAACGGAGCCGCCGCACTCTCATCCTCCCGCCACCCCGGCTGCGCTCGGCGACCGCGCCCCCGCGCCCCCTGCCGTGCCCACCCTCACGCCTGCCAGCTGCTCCCAGAGGCGGTCGGCCTTTGGGTTTGACGACGGCAACTTCCCGAGCTTTGGAGAGCGCAGCCACACACCCGGGAGCCGCCTCGGGAGTCCCTAGACGGGGCACAACAGAAAACCCCAACCGCCCGCGGGCCCTGAGGCCACCGGGGAGTGCGGCGGGTGTCCAGTGGGTCTCGAAAGCGACCCCCGCTTCTCTCCGCAGCCCGTAAACAGCGCCCCGCCCGCTGACGTCGTGCGCCTGCCTCGCCCACTCCAGGAGTCGTCGGCCCGGCCCACGGCCCGCCTCGCGCGATGACGTACACAGACCCCGCCCACTCCTGGTGGCACGCCCAGCTCCAAGCCTACGCCGCGCCCGCCCCGCGTGATGACGTCACAGTCCTGGGCGGAGGCGGGCGTGCGGCGGAGCTGCGTCCCCTCAGAGGGGCGCTGGCGCGGAGCTGAACTGCCCGGTATCCGCGCGAGCACCCAGCCCGCCTCGGCCGGGAGGGCGGCGCGGCACGGACGGCGGGGCGATGAGCGGCGCCCGGGGTGAGGGCCCGGAGGCCGGTGCCGACGGGGCTGGGGGCCGCGCGGCGCCTGAGAACCCCGGGGGCGTGCTGAGCGTGGAGCTGCCAGGGCTGCTGGCGCAGCTGGCGCGGAGTTTCGCGCTGCTGCTGCCCGTGTACGCGCTGGGCTACCTGGGGCTCAGCTTCAGCTGGGTGCTGCTGGCGCTCGCGCTGCTCGCCTGGTGCCGCCGCAGCCGCGGCCTCAAGGCCCTGCGCCTGTGCCGCGCGCTGGCGCTGCTGGAGGACGAGGAGCGCGTCGTACGCCTGGGGGTGCGCGCCTGCGACCTGCCCGCCTGGGTGAGTGCAGATCCCGGCCCGCCCTGACCCCTGACCCCTGACCCCAGCCCCCAGCCCCGGGCCGCGATCCCCTACGTCCTGGCAGGCGCTCCCCTCCCGGCGACCTGCCCGCCTGGGTGGGTGTAGACCCCGGCCCAGTCCGGGGCCCCTATTCCCCACCCAACCCGGTGCAGGCAGGCGCCCCCTCCCGCCTGGGCGAATGCACACCCCAGCCCAGCCCCGGCCCTCGGGCCAGTTCCCGCGACCTGCCGATCTGCGTGAGTGTGCGGACCCCGCCCCGGTCCCCAGCCCCGGCCCCGACTCCGACTCCCAGCCTGCGGGTGCAGGCGCTCCACTCCCCGCGACTTGCCCTCTTCGGTGAGTGCAGACCCCAGCCCCTCCGCGGGGTCTGCCAACCTGTCCAACTGGGGCTGTCGCCCGCCGCTCTCGCCCGAGTCCTGAGCGCTTGGTGCCGTCCCGCGGTCCGAGTTGCGTCCCCCGGTCTGCCTCCCCACTTGCCCAGGCTCCGGGTCCGGGGCGCGTCTGCCCTCGCGAGGCCTCCCCTCGCCGTCCCGCGCATCTTCCCGAGACCTCTCCTCACAAAGCCCTCTTCCCTCTCCCAGCCCGCAGACCCCGCGGCAGGTACCCGGCATGGCGCCCCCTCTTCGGCCGCGACCCTGCCCAGAGCGTGCGCTTCTTCTTGGTTCCTTCCACGGGGTCTCCTTAGGGTCCTGAGCGCCAGTTCGGCTATCGGAGCGCCCAGGGCGATTCTCGTGCCGGTTCCTAACGCCCCGCGAGCCTGGACAAGCTCCGGTGGCTTCAGCTTTTCCTTCTCTGTTTTAATAAAATGTAATGACAGCTGGTGGGGGAGAAGTTAACTTTTTCTTCTAGCCAGAGAAAACTCACTCATGTCATGGTTGTTTCTGACGCAGTTCATGGGCAGTGAGTAACTCACGAAAGAGGTGGAGATAATAGATAATTGTTTCACTTTTTTGCAAGTGTAATTGTGAGACTGAGCATTTTTATACATGGTTCACCCGAATCCAGCGTGAATCTGTGTGTGCGTGGCAGGAACCTTGGAAGAGTTGCAGTAATAGCGAGAATCATAGTAGTATTTTATTTTTAACTCCGGCAGTTCTCTACCTCATGTATTTATGGACTACAGACACGAAGAGTTGGCTTCGTATTTTTTTTTCTTGTCATTCCCTAATTCTTAGCCATAACTTGGCGTCACAGCTTCACATTGCAAGAAACGTGATTTTAATGATGCTTCCATTAGGCTTAATGTAAACTTTGGGGTGAAGGTGGCCAGTAATGGGTGTCGTAAGGGTCATTATTTTCCCTTAGAGGAGAAAAGGTCCCTGTTTCCAGTCAGGAGACACATGAGAAGTGAGGCATGACACAATGGCAATCAATCATTAGAAAGGAGGCGTGCCCACGACAAGAAGATAGTAGGTGCTGCTTTGTGACGACAGATTCCAATTGGAGTAAGAATATTAACAGTAAGGGGCTTGGGAATTTACATTTCTGCCCATGCGTGGTGAGCGTGTGGGACAGTAGTATTTCGAGAACCAAAGTAACTGGCATGGTACAGCTTTTAGCTAGCAGCAAGAAAAACCCGAGGGGCCTGTAGAAAACAGGAAGTTTGAAGAACCAAGGTGGGAAAAACCAAGAATAGAAGAGGTGCACTTTGCAAATGCAAAAGGACCTTAATTAAAGTGGCGTTTTGTGTCTATATTACACTCAAATACGTAATATTTGAAAGTAGCTAAAAACGGAGTCCATTACCATCCATTACCACAACAGCAGTGTAATCAGTGCTGAAATTTGCAGGAAGTGATGATGCTGATTTTCATGGATACTTGGTTTATTGGCTAATATCAAATTTGCTTGTAAAAATCTTTGTGGGCCGGGCGGCGCGGTGGCTCACTCCTGTAATCCCAGCACTTTGGGAGGCCGAGGCGGGCAGATCACGAGGTCAAGACATCGAAACCATCCTGGCCAACATGGTGAAACCCCGTCTCTACTAAAAAATACAAAAATTAACTGGGCGTGGTGGCATGTGCCTGTAGTCCCAGCTACTCTGGAGGCTAAGGCAGGAGAATTGCTTGACCCAGGAGGCGGAGGTTGCCACTGCACTCCAGCCTGGTGCCTGGCGACAGAGCAAGACTCTGTTTAAAAAAAAAAAAATCTTTGTGAAATAGACTATTTTCTCATGATAAATTAACAGATGCAGTTGCTGCCCTATTGAAGAACTGAAAATCTTTTTTTAAAACAATACAAAAGTAATTTAGCCAGAGAATCTTCTCGAGTTTTTTATCTGTGTGACTTCAGCTGATGAATCATAGTGTTCATCTCATGAAGAATTTATATTTTCTTGTTGCCCAGGCTGGAGTACAATGGTATGATCTCAGCTCACTGCAGCCTCTGCCTCCCAGGTTCAGGTGATTAACCTGACTCAGCCTCCTGAGTAGCTGGGATTACAGGCACGTACCACCAAGCCTAGCTAATTTTTTGTATTTTTAGTAGAGAGGGGGTTTCTCCATGTTGACCAGGATGGTCTCGATCTCTTGACCTCGTGATCCCCCCTGCCTCGGCCTCCCAAAGTGCTGGGATTACAGGCTTGAGCCACCGCGCCTGGCCAATTTTTGGATTTTTAGTAGAGACAGGGTTTTGTCATATTGGCCAGGCTGGTCTCGGACTCCTGACATTGTGATCTCCTCTCCTTGGCCTCCCAAAGTGCTGGGATTATAGGCGTGAGCCATTGTGCCCAGCTGTTTTCATTTTTCTAAAAATGAGTTCTTACCATGTTGTTCAGGCTTATCTCAAGCTTCTGGCCTCAAGGGATCCTCCCACTTAGACTTTCTAAAGTGCTGGGATTACAAGTGTGAGCCACCATGCCTGGCCAATTTTACTGGTTCTTTGATTTTTACTATACATATATAGATTCTTGGGGTTCCTGAACTTTGGGCTGGTGTTTTGCCTTGAACGGGATGTGTTTGTACATCCCAAAGACTGTATTCGTAGCAGAGTGGAAACATAGGAAAGCATGAATTAATGAGATACTAATTTCCTAACCTCACCTTTGGATACAGTCACTGGCAGCTTTTCTTCTTTTTTCTGAGTAAAAACTTCCGCTGGATATGGAAATGAGATAGAGTATTAATACTTTCAGAAAAATTATATACTGTTTTATGTTGAGACTATTAGGATATGAAAAATGGCTCTCACTTAACTGTGATAATTCTGTAGGAGTTTGGTCCTGCAGCTTTAATATAAACAGTATTATTAGTCTTCACTTGTTTTCCCATAAACTGTTATGTTCCAGCCGTTGAGGTGAAAGGCTTGACAGGCCGGATGAATTGAGGACAAGGCTTTTTGTTAAGTGTCTACCCTGTGTTAATGGGCCCTGGACAATTGGACTACTCTGGGTGAAGGAAGAGAAGATTTTTTTCTTATTTATTTTTCTTTTCTTTTCTTTTCAAGACCTAGTCTCACTCTGTCACCCAGGCTGGAGTGTAGTGGCATGATCTCGGCTCATGGGTTCAAGCAATTCTCCTGCCTCAGCTTCCCAAGTAGCTGGGATGCAGGTGCCTGTCGCCATGCCTGGCTAATTTTTGTGTTTTTAGTAGAGACAGGGTTTCACCATGTTGGCTAGGCTGTTCTCGAACTCCTGACCTCAGGTGATCCACAGCCTTGGATTCCCAGAGTGCTGGGATTACAGATGTGAGCCACCCAGCATTTTTGTTTTTGTTTTTTTAAGAGAGGAAGTTTTCGATATATTCCCCAGAATTTATCGAACTTGAACGATATTCTCCTTGAACTCTTTCAAGAATATATTCCCCTTGAACTCTTGGGCTCAAGCCGTCCTTCTATGTGAGCCTCCTAAGTAGCTGGGATTACAGGTGCATGCCACCATGCTCAGGGCTGTGCAGAAGATTCTTGAAAAGTTTTTATAGGAATAAATAAGGGCAATTTATCATTGCTGTTTTTATTTATTTTAAAATATTAGATCTTGATAGGATAATGTCTGACTGTATCCTCCTTTTACTGTTGCCAATAAATGCTGATTCTATGGCTGCAAGTAAAAACCCAAACCTGTCATGGATAATACTACTTAACTGTTCTGACAGTTGGTCTCTTATTACCCTCATACTTGGATTCTTGAGAATTAAAGCATATTAGCTTCCTTGGTTATGTTGTTCTGTACTTTGGTATACAAACTTTCTCTGGGGAGAGCTTTCTTCCCATTACCTTTCTGGGAAGTTCAGGAGAATTCAACTCTAGCCAAAATAGTCTAAGAACCAAATGAATAAAAGAAAATAATGCACTGTGGTCTCATGTAAAGAAAGGGCAAATATTTATTTTTTATTGTCACTTAATCATTGACTTAATACTTTAGTAAAATGTTGTGAAGACTTAATTGAAAATAGTTGGCACAGCTAATTCAGGAGCCACAATTTAGCTATTTTAAACGAGTGCCACTTTAGCACCTGAATCCCAGAGTGATCATGTGGTTTGAGGAAATGCCAGAGTCGTCATCATAGACACTGCCCTGCGTTTCGGACGGAGATGCTGCTGTGGGTTTCTTGTTTACACCCACGCTGTGGCTGCATCACAAAGGGGAGAGGATGTGAGCTTGCTTCAGTTCTGTGGTCTCAGTGCTTCATTCAGTTAGAACATTAATGCCCCAGGATGGTTACAGATAAAGTAGTAAATATCTGGTTTTTAGTTTCAGCTAAAAAATAGATTTAAATTCAGGATATATGCATCCATCAGCCTGTATGTGGTAGATTTAGTAAACCTTCTATTTAAGATTAATACTATCTTCATTCTACATTTAAAGATGGGAGGATATAGAGCTAGGACTGAAATACAGTATTTTTTTTTTTTTTGAGATGGAGTTTCGCTCTTGTTACCCAGGCTGGAGTGCAATGGCACGATCTCGGCTCACCGCAACCTCTGCCTCCTGGGTTCAGGCAATTCTCCTGCCTCAGCCTCCTGAGTAGCTGGGATTACAG